CGCTCTGGATCGAGGCCACGCGAGCGGATCCGCCGCGGGCCGGTACCGCCGTCTCGACGACGCTCCTCACCGCACCGGTTCCCGCATCGCGCGGCGGCGCGATATCGGCATCGGCAAGCAAGCCGCCCGTGTCACCCGCGTCGACCGTGTCGACTGCGCCGTCCACGTCGACCGCGACGGTCGCGTCCGCTGGAACGGGGGCCGCGCTGCCACCGTCGGCACCGGTCTCTGCCTCGGCTCCGGCGGGCATCGGTAGGGTACACCGCTGGTTCCAGCTGAACCACGCGAAATCCGGCCGGCCGCTCCAATCCATACCCTCGGTGAAGGCCAACAGCTGCGTCGCGTACGCCACGTCAAACGCCGTACCCTCGAGGATCTCCGCGATACCGACCGAGCGGATTAAATCGATGAGCCCCGCCGAGAGGCGGAAGAGCAGGCCGCGCTCACCGAACGGTTCCTCGCGCCGCGCGATCAGCCGCGGGTCGGGACACTTCGTGAAGAACGGCAGTCCCTCGCCAGCGGCGTGCAAGAAGCACAGAAAGGCCAAGACCGCCCATTCGGAAAGCATGATCGCGTGCACCAAGACGCGCGTTCGCTCCGTTTCTGCGGATTCCGACCGGCCGAGCGGCAACCAATGCGCCGCCACGTACGCCATGACGCTCGGCGTCGGTACGCACAGGTACTCCGGCGCCTCGAACGTCGACCAGTTCGGCGGGAGCGCGGGGTACAGGCCACGCCGCGCGGCGCTGGGCACCGAGAAAAACTCGGTGCTGTGCCACATGTGGAAGAAATCGTCCACCCGGCGCCAGCGCAGCCGACTCTCGCGCGCTGCGTCCTCACCCCACCGCGCTCGGTTCGCAACGCTGTACCAGCTGTCGAAAGGCCGCGGAAAGGCCACCAAGCGGACGTCGGGCGCGAGGCCCTCGTAGCGGCGATACCGACCGAAGAGGTTCAGCAGCGAGATGTGGTACTTTTCCTCGCCCTCGCAGCGGACGTAGAGCAAGTCACTGCCCGCCACGGCCGGCGTCCGACACGGAGCGTGACGCCACCGCGCCTTCCACGCGCCGGCGCGGTTTTCTTGCGCCACGGCACCGCGTCCGGACGGAGTTTTGATCACGCGCACCATCGGAATGGCCGCGAACCTCGCCGCGTCCAGCAAGTTCCGCTGAACGTACTCCTCGACCGTAAGCGGAGGCTTGCGGCCCGCAGCGCGCCGGCGTGCGCGCCGGCGGCGGTGGTCCATCGAGGACCCGGGCCACAGCGACCGTACGGAACCGACGCCGCTGCGCAGCCAGCCCGGGGTACTCGGGGCAGTGAACACCCGCCCCAGCGACGTTGTCGCCCCCCGTCCGGCCGGCGCGAGCGCTACGCTACTCGACGGCGCCGGCGCCGCGTACGGCGCCTCGGAAGCGGCCCTTGTGAGCGCCGTACCCGCAGCGGGCAGCGGCGACATGGGAGGCGGCGGCAGCTCCACGGGGAGCTCCGGGTCCGCCTCGACCATTCTTGGAGCCACGCCCACGAGGGGCAGCGGTGGGGACTGTGTTGCTTGGGCGCCCGGCGGTGGCGGGGCGACCGGTACGGGCGAATCAATTGGCGCTTGCGCGGGCCCCGCCACTCCAGGGGGCGGGTGCAGGCCGTCGCGAAGGCGTCGACGCGGTTGGAAGGTGGGACCGACCGGCGTCGCTGCCGGAGCCCGAGGCGGGCTCAACGGCTGCCTGTACGCGCGCACAGCCGGCGTGTCGCGATGACCGTCCATCGGTTGGTTGAAGAGCTGCTGTAGGGGAATGTCGTCGTCGCTGTCGGAGGAGGTTTCGGAGTTCGAAGGGGAGTGCTGGGGAAGAGTTGGGGGGTCAGTGTGGATCGCGTGGGGAGAATCGGAAGACGCGCTCTCCGAATCGGACGAGGTCGCGGCGTTATATACCGCCAGCTCGCTAACGAGCCAGGGGGCATGATCGTCCACACGGAGGGGCTTCTGTTCCCGCATCGTGCGCGATAGAAGGAAACGTCCGGAACGGACCCGCGCGCTCGAGTAGAGGGTCGCTACGGGGACGTAGCGAAAGCTAAGGGGGGAGGTCTGTAGTATAATGACCGGCGCGAGCGCGCGGAGGTCATCGGACGACCGTATACGGTATACACGTGGGCGGCTGTGCCCACGTGTAGCGAGCGCGCGCGCATGCCGAGCGGTCGTAATCTGGCGTACGTGTACAGTAGTGCACGTGTCGTCCGAGCGGTAGTCTACGCGTGTTACGCGTGCGCGTTAGCACACGTGTCGTCCGTGCGGTAGTCTGTAAGCAACACGCGTGTACAGTAGTGCACACGTGTAGTAGCAGCGTCTGTGCGGTAGTAGCAATTATGGCGCTAGTTTTTTAATTGTGTACAGTACCCGGTACGAACTAGGCGGCAGGTACTGTACTACTGTACTGGGACAGGTGTCCGAGGCGTCCCCCTGCGGGGTTAAGACCTGGCACCCGTCCCCACCAGTAAACGGGGGCAAGCTCGCCCCCGTCCCTTTTGCGCCTACGTACGTCCGTTTTCGGTTGTCCGCCGCGCGCGCTGGCTTCTAACCCGTTACCGGTCGCTCCCGTTCACGCACCATGGGGCGACTGCGCGTAACCGGCCAGTGAGCCACTCCCTTTTCGCGAGCTCGTCCGATCGGTTCAATTGGCGCGTCGCGTCCGCGGCGCGTGCTCCCTCGCTAAAGCCTCCGCCTCTCACCCAACCCAGGGCGGAGAGGAGTTATCCCACATACCTATCGTACTGTTATTGAAACTGAATGCATCACGGACGATGCAGAACTTGACGGTCCCCCGCCTCCTGGTGATGTGCACTGGTTTTGAGTAATGCGATCGTGAATCGCACCCTGATGCGCGCTGTGCACCCGCACGCATGCTACTTGTATGAAACCTGGTTTAAGGGCATACCTTTCAGTGCACAAGCCACGCACATCGACCCAGTATGTTCTGGAATTATTTCGAAGTCTTCACGGTGGTGTTTCGCCAGTGTGTCATGCCATAAATCTCGAAGAAGAAGGAGGGTGTAGAGAAATGGTGTAAGAAGGTGGCAGATGTATGCAGAGCAGGAGAGAAGGTTGCTTGCAAAGAGTGAGAGCCGAGACGGAGAGGGCGAGAGCGCACGGGAGGAGTATGTTTTGAGAACATATACCGTGTTCTGAGACAGGGTGGGTCTGTAGAGGAGCTATTTTTGAGTGCGCGATGGGTGAAGACCGTTATATGGAGAGGCGGGGTTTGGCAATACGAGGAAGCTGTGAAGGGATTGAGTAGAGACTTGAAGCGGAAAAGAGGAAGCGGGAAGGCGGGAAGGGGACGGGTCAATGAGGATGCAGTGGATGCAATGATTTTAATGATGCGGGCTGCGCAACTGAGTGTAGGATTTGGCGAAAACAGTGCCGGGATTTACTTTCAGCTGTATGGGTGAGTGAAACACAAGGCACGGGATTCAGGTTGTGTACGAAAGATGCTGGAGGAAATCGAGAGATACGCACCACGGCCGTGGGTGCAGCCTGTGAGTGAGTGTGTAGAGCGAGCCGATGGAAGGTTGACGGAGCAGATTATTCTGCTATATGGGAGTGGTGAAATTCAAGTGGGCATGGATTCCAGCCGTGAAGTGTATGGATGTCAGTTGAGGTCGTCCGGGGCAGAAGTAACAGTTTTCACGCAATGTGCTGAGAAGGTGACGAAGACGGTTCGATTAGGAGGCGAGTTAGAAACGGAGAGCCAGAGCGCAGGGGACCTTGAAGCAAGAAGGGCAACCTCCGAAGTGGCTGCAGAAACCCGAGTGTGACGAGAGCTACCGGCGCAACTTTCTGTGAGAGCAAGGGGTGCGTTGTTTTGGGATGTGAAGACGGGACGTTGAAGCTGTGGAGTACGTCGGAGAGGAAAGTATTGAGATGTTTCCAGGGTCATAGGTTGGTACTGTAGTGGGTTGCGTTGCGATGAGGGGAGAAGGAAGACCTGTGGTGTCTCGATCGGGGGTTTACAGTAACCCGGTTACCCCAATTTTATGTCAACCAGAGCAATAAAAGGCAAGCAGGGATATCCGGAGAATTGTCTCCTCCTCCCTCGGGTCTCGTCGGGTCTACTACAGTGACCCGGTCACCCCACTTTATGTCAACTAGAGCAAACTCCGGTGCGCGCCGCTCCGCTGCGCCGTCGTCGGTAGAATAGTGATTAATCATTAATTCTACAATGGTACGTACCCTAAATCATCATCAGCCAACAATCGAGCGATGGTGGAGGTCATAGAGCCATTTCATTGGACTGTTGACTTTTGCTAAATTACATCCAAATTACAGACAAGAGATTGCGCTCAACATGGCTCTGTAAAGATTACACGTTTACACTGTAAACGTTATGCTTTCCTCCAATTGTTGGTTTGGTGTGACGTCAACACAGTTGTGATGGAATTTTACTGCAAAATTACATTTTGCAGTACTGTAGTGTGAGATGTTATACTGTAGTGGGAGATTTTATATGAATTTTAGGGAAGCGCGCGCAGACGGTCTGGGAAATCCGGGCCGGATGCGTGGATGCTTCTAGAAGGGAGATGGGGAGGAAATCAAAGCGTGGAAGGTGGCCGAGTGTCGACAGATCGGACACACCGGACTCTACGGCGAGACTCAACACCCCACTTTCCCAGAAAACACCACCAACCCCCTTCGACCGAACAACAACAGTACGTAAATCAACGTTTCATGATTCTTTTCATGCTTTACGATTAGTGCGTCTTTCCTCGCTGGAATCACACGAACATTCATTCACGAAAGAACAAGCCAAAGCACATCAGCTCACCCTACCCACACGCACGCACACGACCGTTGCCACTGTTTCGGCTTTCGTCGACAACGACAAGAGTGCCGTGCGCTGAACGCGGCCTTCAACCTTCGCGTCCCTGTTTTTCTAACAGCCGCTGCCGTTCTCACGCATAACACACTCGTAACACACTCCGCACCTCACCAACTTGTCTTTAGCTATTCACAAAAAATGCAGGAAAGCTTGCGGCAAGAGACGGGACCAAGTAGAAAACGGCGAAAGATACGGTCTCCCGATGTGTTCATAAGCCATGCTGGCCCGGACAAGCTACACATCGCACGTCCTCTTTCCAAGAAATTGCATGCTCAAGGTTTAAATTGCTTCCTCGACAAAACCTCGATGGAGCCCGGAGACTGCGGAGGGGATGAAATGACGAAGGCTATGGAGTCTGCGAAGGTCGGTGTTTTCATACTTTCTCCCGAGTTTGCGGCTCGAAAGTGGACGATGAGGGAACTGCGTTGCTTCCTACGCCGACGTAGAGAGGCGATAGGGAGTGAGATGCGGCCACCGACACTGATTCCGGTGTTTTACAGATTAAGTATTCGGGAATGCAGAGAGTTGGAGCCCGAGTTGGAGCCCGATCGGTACCGGGATGATGAAGGAAATAATATTTTTGAAGTTGAGAAGTTTTTTAGCGTGGAACGACAGCGCGAAGCGAGCACGGATACGGTGAAGAGAGAGCTACAAGAGCTGGCAGGTATCACTGGGATTGAAAATCACGACAGGGCAACAAACCTGCCGGGAGATGAATTCGGCCCTCTTGCAAGGGCACATCTTGTGGAGCGAGTGTTTCTGTGGGTGAAAAAGAAAAGTGAGGAGCAAGAAGACGACCGCCTTCACGATCGTATTCTACGACCCAGCACGAGCATCGATACTCGCGCGGCAGTCGAGCAAGAAGCGGACCACCTTCACGATGGTGTTCAACAAGTAAGCGCGGCCGTCGAGTCGATCAGGGGAGGAAGGGGTGATGTGTTCAAGGCGGTAATAAGAACCGAATGTAATCCTGCGTCGATATATGTGAAGCTTGATTCTAAGGGGAACGATGGATCACCGAACACGTGTGAGTCGCGTCTAAAAGCGGCTGTGCTACGGAGAGATAGGAACGAGCAAGTAGGTGCGACAGCAGTAGGACAGGGCGGAGTCGGGAAGACATGTGCCCTACGAGCGATCGCACACGACGGTGAGATTAAGACGGAGTTTTCGGGAGGAGTGTACTTCATGTCGTTGGGGAAAGATGGAAACGTGGGACGGGTGATTGAAGAACTGTGTCTGATTGTGGAAGCGTCCGGTGGCAAGCAGACGGCCGCGGAAATGCGAGAGCAGAGCGAGTTTGAAAGGGTGTTAGTGAAAGTACAAGCGTGGTTTTGCAGTCATGTGTGTCTGTTCATCATTGATGATGTGTGGGTGGTGAATGATATAGAGGCGAATATCCTTCAAAAGTTGTCTGTTCTCGCTGACACTGCGGGGGGCAGCGGGGAAAGGAGGAGCAAACTACTGTACTCCACGAGGGATAGGGAGCTGCGTCAGCTTGGGGAGCGGATTGCTTTCGAGCCGAGAGAGACAGAAGGGAAAGAAGCAGTTGACATGCTAGTGCACGCGAGCGAGGCGAATCGAGGGGAAGTGGATGATGCGAGATGCAAGGAGGCCGTGAGTGAAATACTGGAAATGTGTGGCGGATTGCCGCTTGCCCTGAATGTGGCAGGAACGAGTGTGAGGTACATGAGGGAAAGATGGGAGGGAGAAGTATCAGAAGCATGGGGGGAGTACCTTTCGAGGATGAAGAGGCGTAACACGATTCGTGGGGAGAGTCCGAAGGACGGATATTCGTCGTTGGATGGGACATTGCATACGTCACTAGATATCCTGGAGTCAGATGTGGGAAGGAGTGGGGAGACATTTGGTGATATTTCGTTTCGAAAGATACACCGGAGTCTGTGCGTTATGAAGAAGCAAGACCGGATACCTTTGAGTTTGGTTGGAGATTTGTGGGAGCTGGACGAGGTGGAGACGGAATGGTATGCAAAGGAGATGGAAAGGGTTGGATTAGTGGAACTGCAGTATAAGAAGGGCTGTGGTGGGTTGCGGGTGCATGATCTGACGCACGATTTTGCGGTGCAGGAGGCGCAGAAGGAAGAAAGTGTAATGGTCTGGTATAAGAAGTTGGCAGATGTATGCAAGCAGGGAAGAGGACTGCTTGCTATAACTGAGAGCGAGGGCAGAGAGAGCAAGGATGCAAGAGAGAAGTATGTTTTCGAGAACATATATCGCGTTCTGAGACAGGGCGGGTGTGCAGAGGAGCTGAAGAATCTATTTTTGAAAGCGCGATGGGTGAAGACAGTGATACAGAGAGGAAGTGTGTGGCAATACGAGGAAGCTGTAAAGGATCTAAGTAGCGTTTTGAGGAACACGGGAGGAAGCGAGAGTCTTTTAAGGGATACGGGAGAAGAAGATTCGGTGTCTGCGATGGAATTGATGATGAGAGCTGCGCGACTGAGTGTACTGTTTTGTGGTGAAAGTAGTGCCGGGATTTACTTTCAACTGTACGGAAGAATCAAGCACAAGGCATCAGAATTAGGTAGCGTGCAAAGGATACTCGAGGAAATCAAGAGATACGCACCACGGCCGTGGGTGCGGCCTGTGAGTGAGTGTGTTGCGCGAGCCGATGGAAGGTTGGTGGAGCAGATCGTTCTGCCATATGCGAGAGGTGTAATTCAAGTGGGCATGGATTCCAGTGGTGAAGTGTATGGATGTCAAGTGCAGGGGTCCGGGGCAGAAGTAACAGTTTTCAGGCAATCTGCTGAGAAGGAGACGAAGATGGTTCGATTACAAGGCGAGTTCGAAACGGAGAGCCAGAGCGCAGGGGACGTTGAAGCAAGAAGTGTAACCTCCGAAGTGACTAGAAAAAAACGGAGCATGACGAGAGCTACGTGCGCAACTTTCTGTGAGAGGAAGGGGTATGTTGTTGTGGGATATGAAGACGGGACGTTAAGGCTGTGGAGTACGTCGGAGAAGAAAGTATTGAGAAGTTTCCACGGTCATAGGTCGGAGGTGCGTTGCGTTGCGATGAGTGGGGACGGAAAACGTGTGGTATCTGGATCGTTCGACAAGAGCGTGCGGGTGTGGGACGTGGAGACAGGAGCACAAGTCGGGGAGGCGTTAGTTGGACACACGGATTGGGTGTATAGCGTTGCGATGAGTGGGGACGGAAGACGTGTGGTATCTGGATCGGCAGACAAGAGCGTGCGGGTGTGGGATGTGGAGACGGGAGCACAAGTCGGGAAGGCGTTAGTTGGACACACGGATAGTTTGCTTTGCGTTGCGATGAGTGAGGACGGAAGACGTGTGGTATCTGGATCGTGGGGCAAGAGCGTGCGGGTGTGGGGCGTGGAGACGGGAGCACAAGTCGGGGAGGCGTTAGTTGGACACACGGATTGGGTGTGTAGCGTGGCGATGAGTGGGGACGGAAGACGTGTGGCATCTGGATCGTTTGACAAGAGCGTGCGAGTGTGGGACGTGGAGACGGGAGCACAAGTCGGGGAGACGTTAGTTGGACACACGAGCAAGGTGTGGAGCGTTGCGATGAGTGGGGACGGAAGACGTGTGGTATCTGGATCGATGGTCGACAGCGTGCGGGTGTGGGACGTGGAGAGGGGAGCACAAGTTGGGGAGGCGTTAGTTGGACACACGAGCAAGGTGAAGAGCGTTGCGATGAGTGGGGACGGAAAACGTGTGGTATCTGGATCGGAGGACAAGAGCGTGCGGGTGTGGGACGTGGAGATGGGAGAACAAGTTGGGGAGGCGTTAGTTGGACACACGGATTGGGTGTATAGCGTTGCGATGAGTGGGGACGGAAGACGTGTGGTATCTGGATCGGCAGACATGAGCGTGCGGGTGTGGGATGTGGAGACGGGAGCACAAGTCGGGGAGGCGTTAGTTGGACACACGAGTTCGGTGTTTTGCGTTGCGATGAGTGGGGACGGAAGACGTGTGGTATCTGGATCGTTTGACAAGAGCGTGCGGGTGTGGGACGTGGAGACGGGAGCACAAGTCGGGGAGGCGTTAGTTGGACACACGGGTCCGGTGGATAGCGTTGCGATGAGTGAGGACGGAAGACGTGTGGTATCTGGATCGGATGACAAGAGCGTGCGGGTGTGGGACGTTGAGAGAGGGATCACACTTTACATCGGGAGGGGAGAGGATTTGGGAGAAATCAAGAGTCGGTTCCTGACGACGCCAGACTTGGGTACTGCTTCTCACGCCGGACGAAGATCACAAATATTTTCAAAGGAGGGAGGAATTATTCAAAGGCGAGAGGATGGGTCTGAGGCTGTTTTGGCCCAGTTGGACGGTCCAGAAGACTTGCAAATAGACCACGATCATGGGGTCGTAATCGGGCGGTTGGGTCATCTGGTTGCTATCATGAAGCTAGTGGTGTAAATTGCGGAAAGCGATGGACGCTTGGCGCCCGACACATTAGTACTGCGTCGCAACTGTGCGCGGTGGTAGGGGGGGGGG